AGGCGCAGACCTCGCTCTGCAAGCTGCCGGCCAAGCAGGAGGGACCCAGGCTGGTGCCAGGGGCTCCCATGCAGCCTTGTGTGGGGGCCTTGTCTATGGCAGGGTCCTGTGCACCCAGGGGACAGCTCAGGTCGCCACCCCAGGAAGTGGGGGGCAGGCAGAGAACATGCTGGAGCCCTCAGGATCCTAGAAGATGCCTCCTGCCCAGTTCCTGTTGAAATTCAAAACAAAAGCAGTTGCTCCAAGGCTGCCGTTGAATTGGGAGCATTTCCAGACTGGACGCTTGGACCGGGCACAAGGGGGCTGTGTGCCTGCGAAGGGGGCGACGGCCTGGGGAGCTGGGGGCCGGCACAGCCCACCTAGGTCAACCCCGAAAGGGCTGACCCAGCACAGCCCGCGTAGGTCAACAGTCAGCAGCAGCACTCCTCTGGGGAGACTGATGCTGAGGTGCAGTGGGGAGCAAGCACCTGCTCCCGGGGTCCTCACGCCTCCCATAGCTGGCAGCTGGTCACCGTGCCTGCCGGGCTCGGTGTGGCACACCAGACCCCCGGAGCCTCGGCGACTCGGCGGAGCCTCGGCCTCAGACTCGGGTCAACGCCACGGAGACCAGGCTTCGGGTACCAGGACGCAGGAGTTACCTCGAGCCAGGCAGACCATGTGGCCGCTCTAGGGCAGAGACCAGGTGCCCTGCGGGGCTGAGACAAGGCCGAGTCCTCTGGGTGCTGCTGGGGGCTGCTGACCGGGCAGCCGTGCCCACCAGCACCGCCCCACCTTTGCCAGGCGACACTGCACACACGGTGGCGGTGCAGGAAGGGTGGAGCGATGACCCCTTCCTTCATCGGTATTCATCTGACAGCAAGGTGAACAACAACATCTCCCCATTGGCTATTTTAAAACCAGTCACTTTGCTGGGCGCAGGTGGCTCCTGCCTGTCATCCTAGCTAACTCAGGAGGCTGAGATCCGAGGATCGTGGTTCAAAGCCAGCCCAGGCAGGAAAGTCCGTTAGACTCTAATATCAATAAACCACTAGAAAACCAGAAGTGGCGCAGTGGCTCAAGCGGTATAGCACTTGCCTTGAGCTGAAGAGCATGGGGACAGCACCCAGGCCCCACGAATGACCAAAAAACCCACAAAAAACAGTCACTTGCCTAAAACGATAGAAGATGGAAAGATCCTACGCACCAGCAATGCCGTCTCTACTTTCACCAGAAAGGACATCAGTATGTTGAAGAGCCTTCTTCACTAGAGCCCGTGAAATGGAAAGCGCCCTAAGCGAACGTCAGTGGATGGATGGACCAGGAGAATGCAGTGTACACATCAGGTGGGGTACTATTCACCCCTAAACAACGGACTCAACAGCGCGGAGGGAACTGGGTCACACGTCAGGTAGAGGTACATCAGGCACAAAAGCTCAAGTACCACATGGCCTCAGGTGGACAAAGCGGGTGTGGGGGGGCGGGACCGCAGAGCGGTGGGCGGCGGCTGCTGTGTGGGTTAGGAGCAGGCGCAGGGTGACCGCAGAGTTCAGTAAAGCGCAGTTAACTTTTCCGAAGGTGGCCCAGAGCAGGGCGGGCTCTTAGCTCACACGCGGTCTTCACGACAGCAGTGTTTCATTACCTAGCTTCAACACGCCAGGGCATGCACACACGGTGTGGGGTACGAGCGAGCGCAGGCGGGCGGCCCTGCCCACCTTCTGGCTGGCTGGGGCACACGTGGGATTCTCCTGAGCTGTTTGGCTTCCTTTCCCCCTCCTGTGCTCCCAGGCGCCTGCTTAGGGCCATAATGGGAGGAAGTACACCGGCACAGCTCTAGCGCAGTCGGGCAGCTGGGCAGCGGGCGCCGGCGCTGGGGGGAAAGCACACAGAGGGGAGCACGCGGCGTCCCTCACCTCATCCCAGGATTCCAGGGTCTACATGAACGTAGAGCCCCAACAATACAAACACGTGCGGGTACCGGCCATCTCAGCGGATGCTGTCTGAAATGGGAAAACGCTGCCGAGCTGCCATGTCCAGTGGAGTGTTCTGCAGCCAGCTGAGAAAATGAGTGAAGAGTTTCTCCATCTATTGATAAGGAGTATTTTCTAGAACATACTTTCAAGCAAACAAACCATGGAGCAAAGGCAGATAATGATGACAGTACCCACTGTGTAAGAAAGAGGACATAAGAAAAAAAATGCACTCTGCTCACTTGTGCAAAAGCAATACAGGCAAGAATCAGTAGAAGCAATGAGATGCTCACCCGCAGGAGGTGGGGGGGGGCGCGAGGGAGGGGACAGGACTGTTCTCTGAACACACCATTGGGCGGAGCTCTGGCTCCAGCCGGTGGGACTCCAGTCCTGCATCAGTGTGGCCAGGTGCCAGGCCCCAGGCCCCAGCAGTGCCGTGGGCCTCAGCATGCTGCTGGGCGGGGCAGGGTATTTGGAGGTGTGCCTGCTCTGCAGGCCCAGGGCCAAGCAAAGGAGATGATGCAGGTGGGGCCTCACTGTCCCTGCAGAGTTCCCAGCAGCTACTGTGAGATAGAGTTTGGACCGGCGGGACCCCATAGTCGTATAAGGCACAGTTGGAAGCAGGGGTTATCAGCACTATTCCATACGGTTAAAGACCTGCTCATGCTTTCTTCTAGCATCTGTATGGCTTCTAGGGGACATGTGATCTGTGTGTATGTGTGCACGCGTGTGTGTGTGCACGTGTGTGAGTGCACGCGTGTGTGTGTGCGCGCATGTGTGTGTGTGTGTGTGTTCTGGCTCTTAAATTCCATTCTCTAATAAAGCAACCAGGGCCCTTGGACAAATGGCTGGTTCTAGGGTAGAGACTTAGCAGGGGCACTTGAGCACCTGTGGTGCCCAGAAGTGGCCGCTCAGTGGCTGTGGGAGAGGCACAGGGCACTGGACAGCACCGTGCTGGTGAGTGCTGGGACCCTTTGGGGAACCTTGGACTAATTTGACCCACCTGAGTAATCTAGAACATTCTCCATGGCAAGGCTGTCTGACTGGCATCTTCAGCTCCACTTGTACCCCAACTCCCCTTGCTGCAGGTACGAGAGGCCCACAGGCCTCAGGGGTGAGGACGTGAATCCTCTGCAGGCCAGGGCTGGCAGGGCTGCATCACTGGCTGAGGTGCTACCACAAGCTGTTGCTTCCTAAAGGGACTTATGCACACATGCATGTGCGCGCACACACACACCTATGCATATGCGTAATACATAGAATGCTGGGCCTGAGGCTTGCTAGGCAGGTGCTCTACCACTTGAACCACAACCCTAGCCTGTACAGAAGAAATTTCCTAGCAAGTCCCCCTTCTATTCCAGCCCCTACAGGACTCTAAAATCAGTGAGCCCTCTTTGGCCTGCCCGCTAATCTTCCCTCTTTGCAGTCCCCGCCTGGGAAGAGGCCTGTGGGCCTCTGGGTGGACGGGGAACGGGTAGGGCGACCTCCTGGGGGACACACTGCATCTCCCCTGCCAGGCCTCTGGCTTGCCATCAATCTGCACACATCACAGAGGGACGGCTGAGCAGAGCCCGCGGTTAGCGCATCTCCCGCACAGCGGGCAGACGGCCAGTTAGCCTTGGAACAGGCTGATTTGTTGTTGTTGTTGTTTTTCTCTACTTCCAGCTCTGGATCCATTCCTCTGGTCAGAAAACGGGACGGGAAATGCTGTGGATCTGGAGAGGGTCTCCAGTACACCCCGCAGGGCTGTGTGGGCCCTGGTCACGGGGCGTCCCGGGCCTGGGCACCCCCCACCCCCCCGGGGACCTCCAGAGCATGGCGCGAGATCTGCAGTCTCAAATCCCCCTGAGCTTCCTCTTCCACTCCCAAGGCAGAGCTCCACTTCTGGCTCTGCTCTGCCCGGGGAATGAATCGGAGAGCAGTGGCTGATGGGAGGGGGAGAGAGCCAGATGGCCATCATGGCCTTGACTGAGGGAGACAAAGCGGCCGCTGCCACCCGACCCTGGCCACAGGAGCTCCCAGGGGGCCTTAGAGCGGGCCACGGTGGGGCCAAGCGGGCTCCGTTGGTGGGGAGAGGCCGGAGCCAGGGCTCAGAAGGGCAATGTGGCCCCCAACCCAGGGTGCTATGGACAGAAGACTAGCTGTGGGTGCTGGGCGCAGGTGCAGGCCAGCCTCACCCATGGGGAAGGGCCTGGAGTTCAGTCCACTCTGTCCCCCCAATTCCCAGCAGGAGACCAGGGGTGCCCAGCACCCTCAAAGGGACGCAGTATGAATGACAGCGGCTCCACCTTCCTGTGTGTGTGGGGGGGATGCTCCCACCCATCAGCTCCAGCTCTCTGTTCTCTCACACCTCAGGCCGAAACACCGGGCGGGGTGCCCTGCTGTCTGCACTGCGCGGGCGCACCCTGCACGTGACCCCCGACTCCTCAGCAGACCCGCTTGCCAGTTCCTGGCAACGGCTTGAAGCCTTTCCTGGTCCCCGAGCCCTGGCTCTGGGGCCGCAGGTTTCCTGCCGCAGGCCCTGGCCGAGCCGCCCCCAGTGCCCGCGCTGCAGCACACACCAAGCCTGGAACGTGGACCGTGACACCCAGTTCTGATTCCTGCTCCTGCGGGGTGCCTGGCCTGGCTGAGGAGCACCCCAGGCCTGCGGGGGGGGTGTCCCTGGGACCCAGAGGCAGCGAGCGAGCCCCTAGGAGTGGGAACGAGGTCCCGAGCAGGACAGGGCGGCCCTCGGAGGGACGGGTTGGGGAGGGTGGGGGAGGGCCGCCCTGGCCTGGCTAGAGGCCCAGCGGGACGCCCCGCCTGGCTCCAGCTCAACCTGCTCTGACCTAGCTCAGCTCTCCCAACCTGCTGCCACCACCAGCGGAGGCCACCGCCACTGTCAATACCCATGCCGCCCACTTACGCTCACGGCACCCACCGATGCCCTCCTTCGACGCCCTCCTTCTCCCCAACCTCCCCCCCCATCACCCTGGACTGTGGACAAGTGCGCCGCTGAGGCCCGTGGGCGGCTGGCTCTGGGGCGCCCGCAGCCTCACCCCTGCGGGGACTCACCCGATGGTCTTCCCCCAGTCGCACCACAGCGTCCTCCCCACGGCCTCCATGTTCTCCTTGAAGCGGGCCAGGCACTGCTCCTGGATGAGGGTGCTGTAGTCCGTGTCCTGGTAGGCGGTGACCGTGAAGAGCTGGGTTGCTGCAACAGAGGGTACGGGGCGTCACTGCCTGCCCCCCCCAGTCTCCCTGAGGCTCCCCCAGCCTGGCCCCGCCCCGGGCTCCTCTTCAGCTCCCTTCAAAGGCCCAGCCTGCAGCACGGGCCTTACAACCGGCGCCTCTGAGCCTCCACTGGACACGGGGAAAGCAAAGTCTGCGGCCTCCATCTGAGCACGGACCCCCAATACCACCAGGCAGTTCCCTGGGTGAGGGGAGGGCTCCTTCCTGCCCAGGCGGCCGGCACGGGGGGGCTGCGTGGCACCACCCAGCCCTGGGGTCCCCGGGCACGTGTGAGGATGCACGCTCCGCACACACCACGCTGGTGAACAGACCTGAAGGCCACTCTGCCCTCACACCTCGACAAGGCCCAGACGCGAAGGTGACCTGCCAGCCACGCACAGCGCAGCACCCGTGTGCCCGCGTCTCTGAGCCTGCTTTGGGCTGGTGGGCACAGGCAGGTGAAGAGAGCTCTGCCTCTTGGCTCCCAGTGGCCCCTCTGCCAGGCTGGACACCCGCGTTCCTAGCCTCTTTAAGGGTCCTGTTCCCTGTTCTGAGTCAAGCTGCCAGCCCTCTCCTGCCCCTGGCTGAGCTGGGCATCCATGCCCCAGGGCACTGCGGCCCCACCTACCAGCCACACCGCCCACATCCCGCCCCACCGTGGGTCTCCTGGACGAGAAAGCCAAGTGCCGGCCTGGAGTCCACTGTGGCAATGGTGGAGTGGCTCCCCGAGGAGAGGCTGCTGCCAGGGTGGGGCTCTGGGGCCCCGGGATCTGGGGTGTGGGCTCTACTGGGAAATACAGAGGGGCCCCCTCAGCCCCTCCCACCCGGGAGCCCCCTCTCCTCATGCCCTCTCACACACGGCCTCTTCAAAGATGGGGAAACTGAGGCTCCAGGTTCAGAAACAGCATGAGGGCGCAGTGCCAGAGTCAATGCCAGCCGGTGCCGGCAATGCGGCCACGGGCAGGACCCGGCCTTGGATGTGGACGGGGGCGGGAAGGGGGGGCTGGGGCTGGCTGGGGCGGCCTGGAGCACAAGAGGGCCAACTGGGGCTGGAGGTACGTGGTGCAGAGCACAGCCCGGGGACGGGGCGGAGCACTGGTCCACCGCCTTACAGCTGCTTCCACCCAGCGCAGACGGGAAGAACGAGGGGAATTCCTGGACACGGCAAGGGCGACACAAGGCTCACCAACTGAGCCACAGGTCCAACTGAGACACAGGTGGAGAACGAGCCCTTGCTTGACCCTGGCTTCCAGCTAACAGAGCCCCTGCTTCCTGACGAGAGGAAAGGCCGTGTGAGCCTGTGGCGCTCAGGGCGTCGGTGGGGCTCGGGGCACATGGTCGGGGTGGCAGGGACGGGACGGCTCCTGGGGCTCACCCCCACACAGTCAGGGGAGGGAGCGGCACCACACTGCCCCAGCCGAGGGCGTCTCTGTGGACGCCGCCATCTGAAGGGTTGGGGCAGGGCACCGCTGGGCTCACACTGCCCCTGGGGCACTGTCTTAGGGCAGGGCGGGTGGCACATGCCAGTCAAGGGACTGGGCAGCACTGGGATGGAGTCAAAGGACTGGGCAGCACTGGGATGGAGTCAAAGGACTGGGCAGCACTGGGATGGAGTCAAATGACTGGGCAGCACTGGGATGGAGTCCTGTGCCGTCTGGCCAGAGGGCACGGGGGCTGGAGGCGGCAGGGGAAGCACTGGCTGCTAGAAAGCTCGGGCGCAGATCCAGCCACCCAGGGAGCCCCACGGCCTGTCATGCGTGGAGGCCCCGTGCCCCATGACTCCTGGCACCTCGCCCTGCCCTGGGCGCGCATGGGAGACACCATTCCACAGTGAACCCCACGGCAGCCTGGCCCCTCCTGCGGCCCCTACCCCTTGGCCCCCTCCAGCGGCCCCCACCCCACCCTGACCCCCTCCGGCAGCCCCCACCCCACCCCCTGACCCCCTCCGGCGGCCCCCACCCCCACCCCCTGCCCCCTCTGGCAGCCCCCACCTCCCCTGAACCCCTCCAGCGGCCCCCACCCCACCCCCTGACCCCCTCCAGCAGCCCCCACCCACCCCGACCCCCTCCAGTGGCCCCCACCCCTACCCCCTGGCCCCCTCCGGCAGCCCCCACCCACCCCGACCCCCTCCAGTGGCCCCCACCCCCACCCCCTGCCCCCTCTGGCAGCCCCCACCTCCCCTGAACCCCTCCAGCGGCCCCCACCCCACCCCCTGACCCCCTCCGGCGGCCCCCACCCCACCCCGACCCCCTCCGGCGGCCCCCACCCCACCCCCTGACCCCCTCCGGCGGCCCCCACCCCACCTCCTGGGTGTGGGAAGCAGGGCCACAGAGCTTTCCTCTTTCCAGAGCGGAGCGTGCTATGGCCCCTGCTCTCTCTCTGGCCCGGCTCACGTCTGCACGGGCACCCGCACGTGGGCACGTGGGTTATTTCTCAGAGGAGTATCAGCTGCAGGGGGCCCAGCTGCGATGGGCACCCGGGACTGCAGCGTGTCGGGGCACTGGGGTCCCCATCGACGGCTCTCCCTCCTGTTCTGGGAGACAAGTGTGCAGTGTGCCTCAGCCAGGCTCCGGAGGCTCAACACAGGCGCAAGGCGGGTGTTGGGAGGCCCGAGCCACCAGGCCGCGGGGTGGGCAGGGCCAGCAGGAGCCACACCTGCCCGCAGAGCCAGTCCCCGGGCGAGGCCCTGCTGCCCTCTCCGGGGCACTGACTAGGGTCGGGAGTGAAGCTGCTGGGCCAGTGCCGTCCTGGTGCCTGGCTGGCACCCCGAGGGGCAGCACCCCACTCACAGGCCTCCCTGTTAGAGCATTCTCCTGCCACACTCGGTCCCCCAGGCCCGCCTGCAGCCCCCGGGTCACCTGGGCAGCTCTGTGGCCCACCTGCCTGGGGACCCCACGTCCCCCCCTCTCCAAGCCACCTCTGCCTCCCGAGGGTGGGACCCACTGTGCCCAGTCCAGTTATCCCCTGCTCTGTGGGGGCAGAGATACCCCTACTGCCCTCCTCCCCTGTCCCCAGGCCCCCAGTCTCATACAGTGAAGCCAGAGAAGCTGTGCAGGGAGGTCTGGAAACCAGGGCCGTTTTGCAGGCACAGGGCACCTACACATCCCCCCTCCCCCTCCCTCTTCCCCTCCTTCCCTCCCTCCCTCCCTTTCATCCCTCCTTCCCTTCCTTTCATCCCTCCCTCCCTTCCTTTGGTTCCTTCCTTCCCTTCATTCGTTCCTTCTTTTTTTATTGCCAGTCTTGGGGATTGAACTCAGGGCCAGGCACTGTACCTGAGCCTTTTTGTGCTCAAGGCTAGCGCTCTATTACTGGAGGCACGCTGCCACGGCCAGCTTTTTCTAAGTAGTTTATTAGAGATAAGAGATAGAAGTCTCACAGACTTTCCTGCCTGGGCAGGCTTGGAACTGTGATCCTCAGACCTCGGCCTCCCGAATAGCTAGGATTCCAGGCGTGAGCCACCGGCGCCCGGCTACCTCACATCTTTCTCAATGGTGCCCGATTTACTCATTTTTTACAGAAGGGAAAAGCAACATTGTAGTTTTAAAAACAATGAAATTCAAGGCTCAAGCCTATAATCCTAGCTACTCAGGAGGCTGAGATCTGAGGATCACAGTTCAAAGCCAGCCCAGGCAGAAAAGTCCCTGAGACCATCTCCAATGGACTACCGAAAAGCGGGAAGTGGGGCTGTGGCTCAAGTGACAGAGCGCTCATCTTGAAGAAAAGCTCAGGGACAGCGCTAGGCCTTGGCCTTGAGTTCAAGCTCCAGGACCAGCACAAATAAATGACAAAACAAGCTGTAGCAACGGCTCCTGGCGTGGTAGAGGAAGCTTGTTGTCCCCCAGCTAGAACCTTCTATAAGGCAACGACAGTCTCCTCCTCCCAGCAGCCCAGCGAGGGCAATTGAGGAAGGAGGGACCTGTCCGGCTGCGCTGGGCCTCCAGGAAAGAGGATCTCCGCACAAGGCCACCCTCTTCCTGTCACGTGACTTGGTCCTCCCGGTCACACTGAGGACAGCAGACCCGGCCGGCCCCAGCCCGCTGTCCTCCAGCTTGGTTCTAGTGATGCTTTTGTCCCTGTCCCCTGAGTGCCCTCTCTGTGCTGCTTTGGGGCTCTGGGCACAGTTCCTTGAGCATCCTGTGTGTCCCTGTCCCCCACTCCTGCTGGAAGCACACCGGCCTTCCCGCGGCTGGCGTGTGTGGTCACGGAGGCCTCCTCCCCGGCAGCGGCAGCCCCGCCACCCACAGGCCACCGCTGCCCACGCCCTGCTGCCACACCGCCTGTGCCCAACCTTGGTCTTGCCCTTCACGGCCTCTTGGCAGGTCTACCTACGGTGGACACTCACGCCATATTTAGCAACTTTGTTTGTTGGTTTTGTCTCGGTTTCTTTCTTTCTTTTTTGTTTGTGGGTCGTGGGGCTTGAACTTGGCCAGGGCACCGTCCCTGCGCTGTTCAGCTCAAGGCGAGCCCTCTACCACTTGAGCCACAGCGCCATTTCCGGTTTTCTAGTGGTTCATTGGAGATCAGAGTCTCATGGACTTTGCTGCCCAGGCTGGCTTTAAACTGTGATCCTCAGATCTCAGCCTCCTGAATAGCTAGGATGACAGGCATGAGCCACCAGCACCTGGCTTGTCTCGATTTCTTAAGATACTCCCATGTAGCCCAGGATGGCCTCAACGTGTGACGCTCCTGCCTCTGCCTCCTGAGTACTGGGATTACAGGCATGCGTGCCATTCCTGGCTTCATTGCTGAACTTGATACACCAAGAAATAATGTTTTTTTAGGCCATAAAACAGAACAAAAATTTAACTAAAAACAGACTGTCTACTAGAGAGGAACAAGAAAATACAGAGCTCAAACAAAACAGATGGCAAACAAAACAAAAGGAAGCGGAGTATTAGACAAGGGAAAGAAGAAAATACGATGTCAGGCTTACTTCACTTAATATAATTTGTTCCAAGCCTTTCCATTTCCTAACAAATGGGG